TTAGAGGGGCCTCGCGCGTTCCTGAAAAAGGTTCTCTTCCAGTTCGCGTGGAGCAGCACCGCTTCTACTTCGACATCAGCGCGATGGAGAGGGGCGAGCAGATGCTGAAAGCCGAGTTCAGGGTCTTCAAGCTGAAGAGGACACACGCGCCGAGGAGGTCTGACGTGAAACACTTCTGCAAAGTAAGTGGGGAGATAATCCGCCAGTCGAACGCTCGCTTGTGCTTCCATTGTTAATAATACTGAAAACGAGGAGCGCAACCACTTACCGCATAAACCTGCTTTATTTTTACTTGACTGTCGTCTCTGCTTTTTTCTTCGCCTCCAGCACGCAAAGAAGGAGACTCAAGGTTTTGTCTTTGGCAGCATGGTGTCCTTTGCGCACTGTGGCAGCGAGCTCTCCCTGAAGATACCTTTGTCAGACCTATCTCAAACCATACCCCGCTTTTCTGGGCTTTGAGATGTTTTGAACTTCGGATCGAAATTTATCTGTTGGAGCTACTCTAAATAATAACAATAGCACTCAGGGACTCATAGGAAAATAGAGCCGGTGAGGGCTCTGACATTGAGTTTATCTGTTCCTTTGGCAAAAGGTAGGATTGGACTTTTTGCGAACCTGAAGACAAAGGTGTGGAGGAACAGAAGACTTTCATGGTATCAGGTGTTCAAAATAGAAATAAAAGGGATAATCATGATGTTTTTCTATAGCATGAAACTGTCCGGTATCCTGCCTCTGAACACGTGTGTAGCGATACTTGTTTTTCTGTTAAACTGCCAAAAAAACTACTTTTTGCCCTGTTTAGAATGATAGTATAGTTTTACAGGTATGATGTGGCAGAAGTGTGCATAATCTTAATCCTCTTTGTTTTGCTGGAAGAATAATTGGTTTCATTTCTTACTGGTTTTTGTATTGCTCTCATCAAGGTGGAAGTGTATGAGCTCTTGGAGAGTGGAAGTAAGCCACAAAAAAAACATCTTATTGCATCAAGATTATTGTCCCTGTACGCAGAAGGCTGGGAAGCATTCAACGTCACACAGACAGTAAGCAGAAAATTCTGAATTAATTTTAATTCTGAATCTCTTAAGATGACAGTCAGCTCATAACTCCAGTATCGCCCTTATGCTGGGTTTTGTGGTCAATTCAAACTGAAGGACAGCAGCAGAGGGAGAAGCTTTCTCTCTGCACTTAAAAGTACACCTGATGCTACCTGAATTAAAGGAGAAGTGTTTATATGCTTCTAGCAGCACAAGTGTGGTGAGAAACCTAGTCAATAGGAGGGACATTAGGCCAAGTATGTCATTGTGATTAACACGTTATTCCTGAGGCTGCCAAAGGAGATGGCATTGATCGTGCGCTAAGAGTAGATTTCCATTTCTTCTTTTCATTCTGGTGACATTACTACAGAGCAGATGTGCTTTAACGTTGTGTTTCTGGAATTTATCATGGTTGGATTGTTTCTCGTTTAACTTCCTCTGTAGACTTCGTTAGTTTCAAGATTTGTTTTTCAATATCCTTGAACTGTAACAGTATGTGAATGCCTTTCTATAGCAAAAAACACAAACAAACATGGTGTAAAGTACACAGTTTCTTGGGTTTAAATCTGTACTCTCAGTGTTTTTTATTGCCTAAGCTTTATGGTCAGACAGTACAGCATGCTTGGATGATTGGCTGAGTTGCATCTTAAGTCACGATAGCCCTGCTTGAGAATGGCCAGGCCTTATCTATTAGTCTGTAATTATAAGAATTAGATAAACTAAATTTGCTTGATTACCAGTTAATTTCTTCAAATGCCATGTTTGCTAGATTTAAATGAGTTTTAATGGTATGGAAAGTATGGAGAGTTCATATTGTTCTGTTGTTAAGATTGCTATGAAAAATAAATTCCAAGCTAAAGTCAGAGATGATTAATGTTAATTTTAACTCCTAGACTCATATATTCACTAGTAAGTTTTCTGAAATTAATTATCTTCCTGTAAATGTAGCTTTGGGGAATGTACATGGTATTTTTTATTTTTAAATGTTGAATTACTGGTTTAAATATTAAACTCAATTGAGTCTCAGCTATACAGTTACCTCACTTCTGTCATAATCTATGTTCTTTCGCTCTCATAGCTTGTTGCCTGTTCCCTTTTCCTAAAATAAACATTGCTTAATCATAATGCTGTAATAAGAATATTGAAACAATACTTTTTCATTTCCCTGTCATTACCAGGTTTCTAAGTGGGTTGAAAACAGCAGCTCCAACCATGGCTTTTTGATAACTACAACACATGTATCCAACAACAGAATTGAGCACAACCTGGTTAAGTTTGCTAAGAGCCAGGGCAGTTCGCAGGAGAGTAGAAGTGCTCTCCTTGTCCTCTTCACCAACAGTAACAAGCGGAGGTCTTCCAGCTTTGTACCCTCTTCCACAAGTAAGTTCACAAGAGAGCAGCAGCTCTGTTTTAGAACATGACTCCTTATTCATCTTCTGTTACCTTCTGCTGTCTCACGTATACCTAACCTCAGTATTTACGTGCAGTGTTGAACAGTTTTGAAGTTCAGCTTTGTCACTGATAAGTTTGACTTGATAGTTCTTGCTAGTGGGTCACTCAGCATCTTAAGTTGCCTCTCCTGTAAGAAAAACTGTGTTCGCAGGAAATATTCATAAAGCCGAGGGGGAATCTGGTTTATTTCGTTTGTAAAGGGGTGCAAGTTCTATGTTTTTTAGGTTACTATTTATGTTATTTTTGTGGTGGTGAAGTTTGCATTAAAATTGTAGATGATGTTTAGGCTAAAAAAACTCAGTTACTATTTATGTTATTTTTGTGGTGGTGAAGTTTGCATGAAAATTGTAGATTATGCTTAGGCTAAAAAATCTCAGTGACCTGGAAAACTTTGTGAAAATGCTGGTAAAGCCACTGTAAGTAGAGTTATTCAGTGCCGTTTTCAAGAGTGGAAGAGGTTGTTAAATAAGCAATTTAAACCTCTCTGTCCTTGGCTTGGTTTTTAAGCACCTATTTAACTTCAGTGACTAATTAGCATTGTGACTAAAGGCTGCTTTCATCAAAGACAACGCCCTCATCCCTTAAATTACAAAACACAGTGTCTTACCTCTCCCACTGCTCTTCCAGTAAAACCAACTAAGGCTGGATTTTAAAGCCTGATAAATGCAAAGAGCAAAAGCTGGGAGGAGGGGCGAAAATTATTCTGTTTTGCAGGGTTTTCTGGTAGACGATTGCATAAAGGACTTGAATCAATATTAAGAACTAGGTGGTAAAACTGATTAAAAACGAAAATGAGGCTGGCTCGTTTATTTTTATTTTCAAAAGAATTTTTTTATATTGAAATTCTAAATCCCAATTTAATGAGCATCAAGCTCTGTGTGGGATACTGTGCCATGACTGAGAAATTGATAACCATTTCTCAGTGAAGAAATTCCCTAGACTTGCCTGTTCTTTGTGGTCGGTGAATCTGTGCTGATTGTTCTTCTAGCCTTTATATCGGTGGTTTTCAGCCTCTGTACGTTGGTCTTGAGGTCTCCATGGACATTTTTCTAGGCTTCTCAGAAGACACTTTAAGAAAGCAAACCTGTTGTCCATAAGGTTCATTCTCTAGAAGAGTTGCATAAGCCTGGTGGTATTTTTTTCAGATCCAAAAATCGAAAAATATATTTTAAAATACTGCTTTACAGGAACATGCTCTATTTTACAAGTGTATGGATAGAGTTTCTGGGAGGAGAATACTGGACAGAGAAAAAGGCTGTGATCTGCACCTTCTGTTAGCATGGCTCAGCGTGATGGGTGTTCTAGGAGTGGCCATACAAAGACCATTAATACTATTCTGACCAGATTCAGCCCAGAAAAGGGCCTGTGGAGATCACATGATATATTTAGTACATCGTTGAGCTTTTCCTTTATATTTCTGCTGAGTTGGGACCTTTCAGGCTGCAAAGCGAAAGATTTGGCAGTTTTTGAAATATGGGTGAAATGGCAATTGAATACCCACCCCTTCTGGTACTTCCACAGTTAAATGTAATTTTAAAATCTAGTCTGGAGACTTTGATCTAGATTTATGGAATAGACTTTCATGCAGAATACTGTGCGTGGGAAATTAATTTCTTTTGAGAAAGATTAACACTCAACTTCCTTTCAGAACCGGAGATGAACCCTGCCAAAAATGATGCTTCACGTATGCCTCGTGAAACTCAGATCACGGAAAACAGCAGTGCAAGCATGAGCAGGAGACCTCGAGCTGCTGCAATGCCTCCTGGCAAAAGCCAGATAACAACATGTCATCGAAGGGAACTCTATGTTGACTTCCGTGCTATTGGCTGGTCAGGATGGATTATTTACCCAAGTGGATACAACGCGTTTTATTGCAGAGGATCCTGTCTCTTCCCCCTGGGGGAAAATCTAAATGCAACAAACCATGCTACAGTTCAGTCCATAGTCCATACGCTTAAACTGTCTCAAGATGTCAGCACGCCCTGCTGTGTGCCAGATGAATTGAAGTCCCTCAATCTTCTCTACTTTGATGACAAAGAGAATGTGGTCCTTAAAAATTATAAAGACATGGTGGCAACAAGGTGTGGTTGTCATTAGCAGGACCTTTTTTTGTCTGCATTTGGCGTGCACCTGGATTCAGTTCCCCATTTGCCACTGAAGATACCAAGGGAGATGGTGTTTCAGTTTACAGGGCAGGAGAGCCAGAAACTCAGCTGTGCTTCAAATCCTTCTCCCCTTACTGTGGCTGTGTGGAAAGGTGTTTGAGACTGATTGCCGAAGAGCCATGGACTTCTGGAGGGTATGCTGACCTGCATGGAGAGCAATTTGAGTGCCTGTACAACAGAGGGAACTGTTAAAAACAGTAGTTTGCCATATGAAGGAATTGAAACACATTAAGTTGAGCATTCAAATTAAGGTCTTGTTGTGTATTGAGACTCAGAATTTCCTGTGATTCAGCAGGCCTCAATATCCAGGACGAGGTGCAGGTCTCTTAGTAACCCAACCTTACTCAGTTTGACTGTGTGATCCAGTGGGGATGTACACTCCTGCGTAGAGCTTTCAGAATGTGTTTGCCCAGAGCTAATCTCAGAGGCCTTTACCATCTGCAGCTCATGCATTACCCGGAAATGCACTTCTTCCTCCTGTTCTTTATGCAGAGATCTCCTTGTTAGTCCCTCCTGGGACTTCCTAGCTAGTCCAAGGGAACATAGGTCTGCATTTGTCTGAGAATCAGCAGACTTGGCTTCCAGCTCAGGGCTGCACCTCTGTGTGATGAATCCTCAGCCAGTCCCCTTCTTTGTAAAATCATTCTCTTCCACCATGTTCTGCTGTGGCTGTTAAGCTGTGTGGCAGCAGAGATTACGTCTCTGTATTTATACAGTGGCTGTACAGTGGGATCTTAAGTTTGGGTCAGAATCCCTGTAGTTTAACAGGAAGAAAGAAGACCACTAAACCTTGGAGGTCTGTGAGAACATGCTGGATGCGGGCCTGGTCCTGTATCTGAGGCAAGTTTGATGGAAGGTACTCACTGATTCCCTTCCATTCTTCCTTGAAGCACAGGACATAGACTTGGAAGGGACCCCCGGAGATCTTTCAGTCTTGCTACAATTTAATGCAGGTAACCAGCCCGTTCCAGTTTCTCAATCAACTCATTGAGTTGCAACTTAAGCCTAGTTAGGTTTCTTGTCTCCATTAATCCTTGAAGGAGGCTGACTTCTCGCAGAACATGACATCTCCCGTGGATAGAAACTTCGTGGAGAATTTTTTTTACTTCAATAAGATTGAAAAAATATATATATTTATGTAAATATTTTTCTTTCTGTAAATACTGATGTCTGTAATAAATCTATTATATTTAAAAACCAAACACTTAAAAGTATATTAACTTAATCTGTAATATAAAATGTTAATTTCCAAATAAATGTAATGTAACATTGGTCTAGTTTGTGTTGTATTTGAACCTCCTTCCTAAAGTCATGAGTCAAGTATTTTTGCAGAATAGAGGAAGCTGCAAATGGCTTCAGTGGGCACTGTATCAAGTCCTGTGACTCCCTGTCAAAGAGTAAAATGGATAAGCAGAACAGATGTATTTCCCTTCAGGGAGGATCGGGTAACTATTCCTGAAGTGAAACTCATGTTGAAACTTCTTGTAACTCTCACCTGAGTCAGGTGTAGAGAGTAAAGCCCTTCAGGTTGGTCACGTGTGGTGCTCGTAACAGAGCCTACGTTGTGGAGGTCCTGAACTGAACATCCCCGAGATGGTTTCAGTTTTCTTGGTGTATAAGGCCTTGTTTTCATGGATGTTGTAATATCTTGGGATGATTTCGTTAAAATTTCACTAAGTTAGAAAGCCAGGACAAAAAGTAATACTGTTATTCACAGTATCATCATACATGGATGAGAAGGCTGTGCTGATATGTATAGGCCAGGCATATGCTGATGTGAACTACAGCCTTGAATGGGTGGAGTAGAGAAGCCTGAACAAGGCTTTAGAAAGAAGGGATGGCATGCATGGGTCAGTGTGGAGAGAAGGGTTTTCTCCTGCCTAGTTGTTTATCTGGAAGGCTGCAGAGGCTGTTCTAAGTACCAGCAGAGCTGTGACACTCCAGTGTCAAGAATAGCTCCAAGAGCAGGTCTTGCTTGGACTTGGTGCTCAGTTCAGACTGGAACAGGCAGTGGAGTGCTGAGGAAGCTCATGCCTGTTAAAGACAAAAGGCTTAGATTCTCGAAAAAAGGCTTTGATTCCCCTAAGCCAGGGAAACAGGCTGTGATAAGGCTCCTGTGTTTCCATCCGGCAGATCACGTATTGAATTGGTGGTGTGTGAGCTGTATGGCACAGGCACAGGGAGTCCGGTATGTCTGAATGTTTCAAACCTGCTGTATGTGCCCAGCCTAGCAGAGCAGAAGTGTTGATCCTTTCTGCAAAACAGCCCGTCATCACCATGCTGACCACACTGTCTCGTATTCAGAATTCCCAGACAAAGGGCCACAATTTTCCTCTGCCTACACAAAACTTCAGTGCAGAGGGGTGGGGCGAAGGGATGTTTTGATCTTGGTATATGGTCACCCTGGTGAAGTGGAATATAAATCTGGTAGCAGGGTGGTGGTTAACTGCTGCATCAGCCACACTCAGCCATTGGATTCAGTGCCATTGGCAAAGAGACCTTGGAAAGCATAAAGGGTCGTAATCTCACTTTACCAGCTTATTTCCCAGGCTGTTGTTTTGCACTTTTCACTGCGGATCTATCTAGTGTTTTAAGTCTGTAGGAACCACACCTTGGGAGTGGGAAAATGTATCTATAATGAGAGTCCAGACAAGGTCATTTTCAAATGTTGACTTCAGATAATGTTATCTGTTTCTTTTGGTAGTGACCCTAAGAACTGAAGCCAAAAGTTTCCCCTGCCAAGTGACACTGGGAAAACGACTGCATTTGGAACAGACTGGCTGAGGCAGGTTGTGCGTCCAATACACTGCAATCTTCTGGCCGTAGCATGACAAATACTTCTAGCACCATCAGCTGCATCCTTCATTGCTCAGCTCAAAGAATTGTCCATTTTTTCCAGGACATCTTAATTGGTTTCTTCTTGTTTCAAATGCCAGGGAAACAAAAAGGAAATTTTTCCACTGAAAAGCAAGTATAATTAATAAGTAAATGATGGGCACACTGAATATTAGCTAACATAGTGCTGCCCCACAATAGGTGAAATATGCACAGTCAAGCTAGGAGCACTTGATAGTTTTGCACACATTAAATTATTTTTTTCTGCGCCACTCAACATAGTCTCATTATGCCCCATTAAACTCTGATAATTAAAACAAAATATATTGGAATTGTTTATCCTGGACTTTATAAGGAAATGAGGTTCATAATAATGCCAAGAGAAAAAATTTACACTACACCAGAACTCAGAATAACAATTAAGCACAAGTATGCTGCCTTTTTTTTTTTCCTTTAGAATAAAGGTACCTTTTCTTGTTATCCATTAACTGAAATAAGTAAGAATTCCAAAATAATAAATACTACACTTCGGAGTCTTGGTTTAATCAGAACATCATATGTTTAAGTGTCATACCAAAAAGCAACGGCTAGGGGATTGGAGGGAATAGGGGTAGTCTTCAGCATGGACAGTCTGGAAAAGGATTCGTGACGCAGGTTATGTGTCGTTATACTGTGTTGCATCACAACAGCAGCAAGAGAAAGCAAGGCTGGTAGCAAACCCTGTTGTGATAAACACTGTACCAAGACCAATGTGAAGCACACCTGGCTCTGAAGAGCTCTCCTTGTAAAGAGCAGAAACAGGTAGGAATGACTGTGCCTTTTATGTGCTGGATGCCACCCAGAGCATTGACATCCCTTGAGACTGAAATTCAGAGGTGTACAGAGGAAGAGACCCATGTTAAGAGACGTGCAGCACCTCTCCCCTGCCTCCAGCTCCAAGCCCCACCAAGGGCACAGCTGCAGCAGGTGTGGGGCTGTCTGAGCCGGCTCAGCTGGTGGCTGGAAGCGGAGTGCCCTGTTAGCCATTCATGGTGGTGCGTCTGTAGAGTGCTCAGCTCTGCAACACAGGGTCTGCTGGCTTCGACCTCTGACAGCTCATGGGTCCCTGTATCCTCTCCATAGCATGGGATCAGTGTGATTCTCCTCTGGTAAATAACACACCTTGTGTTCTACACCCACAGGCACATGGAAAGCAGGATATCGGAGGCAGAAAGACTCAGACAATGCCTAGGAAGAGAATCCAACTCTATGATAAAGCTGCAGGTTTATGCTTAACCCTATGATACAGACATTTGCTCAGGCTTGGAATTAAAGAGGTCAAGGTATGTGAGGTATGTACAGATATACTCATTATTGTGTAAGGTAGGGAGAGCACTAAATGTGGCCCTGACAACACTACAGTGGGATGGTAGTGTGAACTGAGTATGATGTGGGGGAGAGCTAATGGTAAAGAGCACAAATCCACAAGAGATCAGACTTCCGTGGTCTCATGTTGGTAAAAATGTTTGTTTTAAGGGATTTCCGTGGTGGTTCTGTCACAAAGTATAGATGACGGGAAGTGCTTCTCAGCACTGAAGCAGGGGAGGAATGTGCTGGGGATGTCCTGGGTGAGGAAGAAGGGATGGGCTTGGGGAAATTGTTCTGGGATGGTTTCCTGTGCGAGGGGGAGGATAACTTAAACGTGCCTGCCCTGAGGAAGCTGAAGCACAGCAGTGCTGTAAGCAGCTGAAAGGCCTCTACTCTATTCTCTCTGTTCTGGAGGCTTGAAGATGATGTTGTGTATGAGACATCCAGTTAGAAATGTGCTGAATTGTTCCCAGACTGCCTGGGGTTGTTGTTACAGTTCTGGTTCTCTGAGAAGGAAATGTGGCATTTATGTGCTTTGCTTGAAAGACCCATGGAGGACAGTGTTTGTTTCATAGCCCTGGAGCTTGTCTCCTGAAAAGAAAGGAGAGAAGCTGGGTGGCTATCCTAAGTGAGCAAGGACTTTTCCACCCATACTCAGCCCTCCAGATCTTCTCCAGGTCCCTTTAAGATCACACATGCAAATATATACACACAAATGTTTCGCATACGGGTTATTTCTCATATATGCCC